AGAGAGAGAGAGAGAGAGAGAGAGAGAGAGAGAGAGACAAACAGACAGACAGACAGAGAGAGACAGACAGACAGACAGACAGACAGACAGACAGACAGACAGACTGAGAGAGACAGACAGACAGACAGACTGAGAGAGACAGACAGACTGAGAGAGACTGACTGACTGACTGACTGACAGAACTGGAAACAGCGTTGGAGGCGGGGCTCTGTTCATTCCTATGAAAGTTAGACTTCCAAGTAGGAAGATCAGATAAAGTTGTCTGGATCTTCCACATCAGTGAACCCGGAGAGCAGGCGTGCCAGCGTTCCCTTTCACCGTTAACCCCGCCTCCCCGCCGCTCGGTCTCAGGCCCATCCATATGAACGGACAATAACTGGATTCAGCTATTAGTGCATTTTACAACTTTTAGGACCGAATGATTGAACTAAGCGCTAAGTGTTTGCACTGGGAACCTGATTTACCTTAAAGAAAAAACAATGCGCTGATTTGCAGACGTCTCTTTTTTTGTCTATGAGAAAAGATGTTTGGGCCTCATGGCATTCCAAGGATTAGCCACTTTGTAAAACTAGCTTCAAAGCGCGGCACTCTTCCTCTTCCTGTGGGCTTGGTGTGGACGTTCAACCTGAAAACATAATTCAGAAAAAGGTTCTTAGACTGAGGAGCTATTGGTGGCTGTAATCACTGGTCCTCTCTGGCTATGACCCTCGTGGCTCGACTGCACTCGCACCTCAATCAAACTAGTTTTCATGAGGCTTCAGGAAATGCAAGTATGGAATACATCTTGAAGAACCAAACCAGTACTCGCTCCTACTGAGCGCGTCGCATCACAGCGGGCATCAAACTCTTGACTTGGAGGTTGACTTTGGAGAGTCCTGCAGGTCACAGCACTGTGCTGTTGATATGATGAACATACAGTATACGGCGGACGTGTTCTTTCACATCGGGATGTGTCTGTGCAGCCTGGTGTGACGGGGCTTCACTGCTCTGCTCTGGGTGACATCTTGATGCAGGTTCAGCAGCTCCAAACACTTCTACTGCTGTGAAAGGAATGAAGTATTTTGACTGACTCACGGGCCTTTATGTGGAACGCTGACAATATTATTGTCACTGGATGACAAAGCACAGCTCACATTGTAGTTCTGCTTGAGACTGTAGGGAAGGTGTGAAGCTGCTTTCAGCGATTCAGTGCCATTACTGTTTATAATAACGACATATCATATTCTTTATGGAAATACATCAGTGGTGGGCCGTGTGTTTCATACCTGGGCCTTCTGTGCTGTCCTACTACAGCTGAACCACCTCCTAATAACCTCATGGTGACTATTGTTTCTAGGGGTGTAACATCACGTATTCGTATTAAACCGTTCGGTACGAGGCTTACGAACCGAACAATACGTTTGAATAATACTAGTGAGTTTGGAAAATGCAGAAGCTTAAATTGTGGGAAATATAATGTTTTCTGCGCTCACGTAGGAGACAACGGGCTGTGTGACCTCTGAACCCGGAACAACAACAACAACAAAAAAAACACTGAGGCACCGCACTTCTGGGAGGCTATGCTAAACTAGCTTAGCAGGAAAACAACAGCAGCACACAATCTACAAACTCTCCCCGCAGAGTTTAGCTGTTCCTACTGATTCAAACAGGCTAAAGCAATCACCACACAATCCTCATTCCTCCAGACCATCATTCCAGCTTTGTTAAAGATTCAATTGTCCGGACAATAACTCCGCGCATGATGGGATGCTTCGTAATTAATGGACAATGCATATAGTCAGAATCTATATAATTAACACAATGACAACAACAAACTCACAAGAACCAGTCTCTTCTTACCTAGAGACACAGAGGTGAGATCTGATTGGATAAAAGCTCTACTTAAAGCAAGCTGCACTGGAAGCAGAGCAACTGAGGAAGACAGTAGCTGTGCAATGAGAACATAAGATAATGGGGAAAACATTTTTATAAATTATAATACATGTAGTGTATTTAAGAAACATTATTAAATTATAAAATAGATATAACTTTGTGATTCTGTCTAGGCCAGCAGAGAAGGCCTTGCAGGCCCTGACGGCCCGCCACTGGTGTATATGTATGACTCTGCCACTTGAATTCATTTTTCTGTGACTGTAAATTGTTTTGTTTTTAAATCTTAACAGTCTTCATTTGTAAATGTATACTTTGTTTTACAAGATGTGTTTTTACTGCAATGACTGTACCTCTGAACATATGTGCTGTTAAAGGGGCGATGCTCTGTTTGGAGGCATCGATACTTGTATTCCTGTCACAGACTGCTGTAGGGGGTCAGATCACTGGGGAGAGACAGAACGCTCCGTCCAGGTCTGAGATCAGTTCTCTTTAAATTCACATCAATAACCGTTGAACCTCAGACTCAAACTAAAAATTTCAAGAACAAGAATTTCCATGAGCCTCTGTTGTGTTCACATTGACATCCTAAAACATTCGAATATGAATAATCATAATTAATTCAGACTCCGGACATGGAGTCATAAATGATTAAAGGGCCGTGCCAGTGTTTTTGTATGTTTATGCCACTTACTACGAATGACGTACTAAAGTCTTGACATTGCTGCTGAGCGGTTCCCACTGCACTCACCTTATTGTGTGATTATGGACCACACAGTTACAAGATGAGTATTTGATCAGTTTGACTCAGTATTTCATAATAACAGCATGTACTTCTTGTAATTATGACTCAGTAACTCATAATTACAAGAGCTGTAATTATGAGATGACGTCATAACAACATGAGGATTTCTTCATAGTTCTGATGTAGGACCTTATTTTTTGAGATTCTTTCTTCAGAGCTTGTAATTATGAGATACTATGTCATCGTTTAGGACTCATTCCTTTATCGCCTCACTGATACAGTATACAAAGATGCACAACACAAGCTTGGGAAAACTGCCAGCATGAGGTCAACGACGTGGTTCTTAGTAAACGGGTAAAGAGGTGCAAAAACTCTGGCGTCATTCTGTAGAGTTGCAACGTTCCTAAAGAGTCGACCGTCGTCAGTGAAGAAGCAAAGTGTCTGCCCGGTGACTCATTCATCCGGTTTATTGTGACCGGTTCATTTGTTCCACACTGCTGACTGTGATGTTGCCTTTTTTATTTCCTGTCTCCAGTCTCATACTGTATGCTGACGTTATCATGTAAACATGTTGTAGTGACGTCTGTCAGTTTGATCCAGACTGAATATCTCTACACATAACTGATGGATCCATGATATTTGGTTCAGATGTTCATGTTCCACTGGAGGAGTGAACTGTGGTGGTCCTCTGATTCTTCCATTTCAGTTTGTCCTGCAGAATGATTTGTTTCCCACCATGTGCATATTCCACATACTCAATACAGTAGTTATGATTGGTGTAGAGTAGAGAAGGAGAAAGGGACAAGCAGGAGGGCTCAGGGTCCTAATAAGCAATGTGCCAACCCTGTTACTGAGCAACATATTGTGTTTGCTCATTAGTTCCTTTGAAGTCGTTCAGCATATTAAGAATCGACTGAAGAGATATTAGTCGACTAATTAACTAAGAGGGGGCCGCCCTACTCCTATTAATAAGAAATAAGATAAAAATGATCAGGATTTTGGCAGAAAAATGTAAAATCAGAAATGAAAGAATTCTCTATAAACTCTGGTTTTAATCTCTGAATTAGTATTCAGGGATTCATTTTGGAACAGATTTCTCTCACTAGCCCTAATCCACTTGCATGCATCATAGATGCATTATGACTTACTAATGTACTGTCTTGTTGCTAAAAAAGAAGTGACATTCAGATGTTGTGAGCGGTGATCAGACAGCTAGCTGTATATTGTGTTCAATGCTCCAGCATATGATGAGCAACAGGCTGCACCACTGGAATCACAACACAGGACTGTTTGTATATGTATATAAGATGCTTCCACTGTTAAATGTATTTACTGAGTTTCTAAAGGACAGCAGCAATCTGCATCTCTGTGCTTTAAGTGCCTCGAGGTTTGATAGTAACAGAGATGCAATAAGAGATGGATGATATACTTTATTTAAGAATGAAGCACACTTTGTTTCCCCACAATCTGCATATATTGTGCAGCATTGGAAATGGAATATTATATATTTTTCATTTTCTTTTCTAAAATATATTTCCAGGCATTCTGGTGTCAAACATATACAAAATATTAAAATGTGTTTAAAGATTGTCCCATGTGCCCCCGTGTTTTTTAATTATACAGTGAGCTGCACACACACACACACACCATGAATAATCAGTGGTAGAAGTGCCCTGTGCGTCCTTACGGTTGGGGGGATTCTTGAGATAAGTCATACAGTAGGTTTAGGTCGTGAGAGGGCATCAGCAGACTTTACCTCGTCACAAACTGTGATGGGACAGCAGCTGGAACAGCGTACGGCCAATGAACGAAGCATCATTGGTGCATCGATTAATAATTGATTGTACACTCAAACCTTTTAAAGGCAGTCTATATTTCTGTGCACTCTTTTGGTTTCCTGGTCATGCTTTCACTTTAATTTTGGGCAAACATGCACTGCGCCTGATAGATGTGACTTCATGCTACACAGCAAGTCAACTGCTACAGTATTAACCACCATGTGATACTGTGCATTCAACAGATGCACTCAGGTCATTTTAAACACATTGTTTTATTAGAAATTAACTCATATCTTACAATCTTTTTACTTGTTATGCCCAATTCCAATGTAGACGTATCTCCGAGGGTCCTGAGAGAAGCATTAATCCTAACATTGTGATGAATAGGCTTCAATGCATCCAACGGGGCGCCCCTCCTGGCCAATCAGGGGCTCTGCAGCAGCTTCGACACCACCCCCCAGCGGCCGCACAGGCGCACTGAGCTCACAACTGCCATTTTGTGGCAGAGGCTACTCTGCTAAAGCGAGAGAGGGATTAAAACTAACTGCGAAGAAGCCTGCATTCTCACCAGCGTGTTAAACTTTGTAGCACAGACTCTCTGCTTCCGCTCGAGTTAAACGGGGAGAGAAACACAGAAAAAAGAGGTAAAGTATCACTACTTTTCTGATAAGGGGGGAGTTTGCAGGATCTTTAATCGGCCTCTAGGTGTCACGATGGGGCTCTGGGTCCGGCAGCTCGTCGGAGAGTGTTTGTCTCCCTCTATCGTTATCGAAAACCCCGTCAAAATACGTCTAAATAACCCAAGTAGTCATAAATGTACACACAACCCGCTGTATTTTACACGCATCTGTCACAATATCGTCGATGATAACTTACGAATGCTTCGACGATTTGGTTGGAGAGTTTAGGCCGAGGCGTCCATTTTCTCGCTTCTTTGTTTCCCGTCTTTACAGCCTTGACGACATGGAAACTGGCGGGTTTAAGTTATCGCCCTCAGCTAGCGTTAGCTTGTTAGCATTAGCTAATACACGCCAGGTGTGACGCACACATTCACATCCTTACATGCGCGATGACAGTACTACAGGTGTGCACGCAAACAGCCGCGTAGTATGTTACGACGCTCGACTGACTCCACGTTTTAGCGTGTTTCGTACTAACTTAAACTAATGTAGCAACTCACGTTAGCCCACAGTTAGCGTTAGCTAGGTCTGCACAGCAGCTAGGCCATTCTCCCGTCGTAGCGTTACGTTGGACTGTTGAAAGTGCTGGAATCCCAACAAGTAACCACATTAAAACATCGATGTAGTATATAATTTAACTGAGCCGGTTGTGGTCGCATCTGTGCTTACTTTCATTGAAATTTAAGTCGGTTCAAAACGCCTTTCAGGTTGCGCAGTAAATACGCGGAGAGTTCCGCTCGGGCCAGCGAAGAGAGTGACGAGGCATTCGAGTAAAACTGAGATCACAGCGGTCACCGATTGTCTAAGACCAAACACACGACGCGTGTTTCCCCCGAAATCAGCCCTCTTCCACGGTCAAATGTCGCATTTCACTTCCCTTTTCCGTAACGGTGCTGTGGTCGAATTTGGCAGTTGTTGTTGCGCCCGCTGCCCGCTCGTCTCTCTATTCTAAGCCCACCTTGAGCATCACAGCCACAGATGTATGTTATAGCAGAGAGCTCCCTCTACGATTCGGCTTGGAGAGCTACAAAAATACCGCTATAGAAATGCCGGGCAGGGAGGCGACAGCTCAGTGCCGTCGCCTTGTTGTGGTAAATGTGTTGCAAAGCATCTATGAAGGCCTTTACCAGAGCCTCCCGCCATTAAGACAAGTGGACACGGAAACCTGCAAACAAGCAGATGTTGTTCTCACAAACTCTGCCATGCAGCTGCTCCACCTGTGTCAGTACTGATGTACACGTTACATTAACCAGTCCGTTAGGACCACAATGCAGCTGTGGTATTTTTAAACAATATCAGTTGACTACTTTCAGAGTTTATTTTATAAGATACTGTGGTTGTTGAAGAAAATAGACCCATTATCCAAAGTATAAGTGGTGTTGCTGTATTTGGCATGTAGTGGTAAATGAGGCAGTCATGGTCAAAGAGTTCAATCATTGTTTTGTTAACTTGTACACAATGGCCACACAGTTGAGACTCAGAACACTTATTGGACCACTGTGAATGTGTGGCAATTCAGCACCGACCAAAATCATGAGTGACTTTATCTCCTTGTGCTTTTAAAACAAGGGACAATACGACTTAGAGCTGTGAAACGTTCAGAAAGGATTTCAAGGCCTGTGGTTATCAATCAATATTTGTAAACCCTGGGGCAAAAAAACCCCTCAGCTTTAAAGAGTCTTATCTTGTGAGTCCTTGTGACCACGATGCATACAAAGAGGGACGTTTAACAGTCGAGAAATGAACCTGACATGGCTCTCTATTGCAATGTCCTGTTACTTATCAGACCAGTGTGCAGCCTTTCAGTGTGCTTGTGTTTATGTGGACACACGCTCTTTATGAAACGGCTTTCAGCGGTTGAAGAAAAAGCATCAGTGCCGAGTGTTGCACAGTTTTCTGCTTTGAACTGATGTTCACAATAACTGTTCATTTGGTCATAACTGTTTGCATGAAGTGTTTCCCTCCCGGGTTTACAAATGGTGATATTCAACCACAGGCTTTCAAGTTATTTAGAACAGAACAGTTGACATGATCAGAGATGTGTAGGCTGTTAGAGTCACCGTGTCTGTGCGTGTGTAACGTCTCCCTCTTCCCTCCCTCAGGTTGACAGGGACAGTCAGGTAGCAGACAGGCATTTGGTTCAGCAAAGCTCAGCAGCAGACAAAAGGGAGAGCAGCTGTATCACAGCCCTGCACGCTGCAGCCCGGCCTACAGACAGCATGAAAACAGTTAATCTATCGTTGCTGTTCCAGGTAACACTAGTAGTGTTGAGTGGCAACATATTTACAGAAATAGGTCACACTCAAACACGCCTTTCTTCAGCAGCAGATTCAAGGCAGTAGAACAGAGAGCAGAACTCTGCTCCGTTAGCCCAATAGAGCACACTCGGCAGCATTACATGCTGCTAACGTATCACTCCTTCCCTGGAAGTCAGGATCTGATTCATGAACAGAATGATTATAGTCACATTGTGGTGTGTGTACAAATCATATTGCAACTCTTTCATATCTATTAGATAAAAATACTCCAGCCAATGAATGTTTTGATGCCCTCTTTATCATAGCACACTATTAACAGTTCTGTCCTTTATATAAGAGTATTAGAGCTGAAACAACATTTTGATAATTCATTATTTAAGCATAAAGCATTCCTAGTTCCAGCTTCTCAAATGTGACTATATGCTGCTTTGTTTAACCCTCTGAACCCAAAACCTGCAGGCGGGATGGAAATGTTTTCTTTAAACAATCTCCTAAGCTAAATGCTAAATGGACTCTACTTGTGTCTCTCTTCTGGTCTTCTGACCACTTGATGCACTTTAACACACGTCATCATTCACCCATTCACACACTGATGACAGGGGCTACCATGCAAGGTGCCACCTGCCCATCAGGACTATGTCATTATTAACACACATTCACATACTGCGGGAGCAACTTGGGGTTAAGTGTCTTGCCCAAGGACACATCGACATGGACTAGCGGAGCCGGGAATCGAACTGCCGATCCTCTGATTGAAGGACGACCCTGCTCTACCACTGAACCACAGTCACCCAGCTACACCGTTTATCACAGCCAGAAGCTGTGAAAATAGTCATACTCGTCAGATTTTTATCTTTCCGACGGTCCTTGAACGCGTCACGTGTAACGCTTCCGTCAGAAAAAGCAGTCGAAACAAAGCTGGAATTGTGATATTTCATCAACAACATGTCTCATTTACAATCTTGCCACAAATAAACCGCTTGCTTTAACTAGACGCTCCTCAAGGAAGCCACGATTATCTGGGCTGAGACCAACACAGGAGCAGAAGAACGGTTCAGAGGGTTAATACTCTATCACAGTAAATTGGATATCATGGCGTTTAGTCAGACCAAACTAGAAGTAGGGCTACGACCATCGTCACCATGTGTACACAGATACACAAGAACACACATACAGAAAAACAATCTCAGGTCCATGAGGGTTTTTGAATTCGGTTAAATTGCAAATGTTTACCCTTCTCAGCACTGACGTGAACCAGACAGATAAAGTCACAGGTCAGCTCTATGTTGGCAGTTTAACACGTTGGTTTACAGTCTTGTGTGATGAAAGGCTCTGAAGGTGTTTTTTGTGGTAAGACGAGGTTAGGTTCTTACCCTGATCAGGTATGTGTTGCAGGGTAAATGGTGTCAGACTGAACACCGCTGTAATAGAGCAGACATGTTTCCAGTTGACGGTTTCAAAAGCCAGAAAGAGGTGGAATACACTGCTAGATCATTTTTGTTCCCACATATTTCAGTTCCTACCCAGCATGGACGGAGGGCCAACAGAGGGTGTAGGGGTGGTGGAGGTCCCGCACAAAGACTTCCCCTCCATCCAGGCCGTTCACAGCCAGGATGCCATGGTGGCTGACCTCCTCCAGCAAGCTGCAGAAGCCGGGGGCGTGGTGGAGGGACACGCAGGAGTCCTGGAACAAGGTTCTTACTAACTGCACATGAAATGGTCACACATGTCAAAAGAGCACAGAGACGTAGATTTCCAGTGAAAGTAGAAACGATTATTGCAAGTTTTTGTGGAGAATGTGGTTAAATAATTTACTCCCAGAAATGTTGTGCTTCAGGTCACGGGGACAGAATGCTAGCAGCTCAGCAGCAGCTGATGGATGGTGGGGTGGGGGTCGGTGTGGACGGTGGAGCCGGGGTTGAAATGATGGTTATGGACTCGCTGGATCCCACCCTGTTGCAGATGAAGACTGAGGTAAGCTCTTTGTGTTTATGTCCAGACCTGGCAGCCAAAGCAGGAAGCAGGCCTGGTCTCGAAAGAAAGATTGTTTGGACGTCGCTCTCAGCTTGACCTGAGGATTCCTTATGTCCCTGCTGGAGTACGTAGCTCTGCCCAACATTAACATGGAGCTGATTTGCAGGTGATAGATGCTACAGTGGGGGGATCAACGACCATGAGTGTCGTCGGAGGGGTGGCGGGTGGCGCTCACCTAGCAACTGTAACAACCGTGGACCAGACTCAGATCATCACTCTACAGGTAGGCACTCCTCTGGAGCCACTTCACGTGATGGAATCCTCCAGTTCCTTCCTCTTGTATCTGGTGGGTGCTGACCTCAGGTCCCCCCGTTCTCAGGTGGTGAACATGGAGGAGCAGGCAGCTCTGGGTCTCGGGGAGCTCCAGCTGGTCCAGGTGCCGGTCTCTGCCACTACTGTGGAGGCCCTGCAGCAAGGCACCTTTGTAGACACCACTGCTATGCCAAAGGACGGAGACCCGGTCATCTGCCACACCCTGCCGCTGCCGGAGGGCTTTCAGGTAAACAGACAGACGCGCTCATAGTCGGGCTTTAACTCCAACATTTATGCCCGACTGCATTTGAAAACTAGCAGCTGCATCACTTTTAGGAGGATTGTGACACTTGAACTACTGGCGTATCAGTGAAGATGGTTGGTGTGCAGTTACATATGTTTAAATTAAAATTACAGGAATTTATATTCTTATTTAACTGACTTATTCTGGTTGCCTTTAAAATACGTACACATTTTTTAGCACATACTTTCTCTTTTACACTTGAGCAGCTGTGACTTGTCTCCGTGATGAATCGACAATGAATGCATTTGATGTGTAGGTGGTTAAGGTCGGAGCTAATGGGGAGGTGGAGACAGTGGAGCAGGAGGAGGGAGGAGAAACCCACCCTATAGAGGAGGAAGATGAGGAGGTGGGGAACCAGCTGCTGGACGAAGTGGAGGAGGAGCCCATTCAGCCTCTGAATGACGACCCAACCTGGGCTAAAGACCCAGACTATCAGCCCCCATGTGGAGCATTCAAGAAGACCAAGAAGGCAAGATAGCTGTGTGGTATCAGTCTTTGTGTTGTAGGGATGTGACACTCTTCTCTGTAATCAAACTGGATGTTTACCACATGCTAAAAGCTTTAACTGTCATCAGCTTAACATGCGGTGTGCCGGCTCGCTGTCTGTCCAGGGTAAGAAGAGTCGTCTGCGTTACGCTGAAGGAGACAAGGACATGGATGTCAGTGTCTATGACTTTGAAGAGGAACAGCAGGAGGGCCTTCTGTCTGAGGTCAATGCTGAGAAAGTGGTGGGCAACATGAAACCACCCAAACCCACCAAGATCAAGAAGAAAGGTGAGACACTGTGTAATGGAAGTGACACCATTTTGATTTGGTTTGGCTTGGAATACAGCCACGGTTGTCTTGTGCCGCCCATCACTCCTAACTATAGTAAACATAAGTAGCGCTTCTCTACTATACTGTCACAGTTACTTCAAATGGATTGTGAAGTGAAAATGTTCACAGTGCTCACTGCATACCCACAATGCATTTCAATTCATGTGTTAGTCCAGATCTCATTTAGCTGCTCTATCACAGCCGATACTCCTCCTGGGGTCCTCTTGAAAATGTCATACTCAGTGACAATACAAGTGAATACCACTTAAAACAAAGATTAACACTGTTGCCGTCATTATCGCTGTTTGCACCCTTAGCTGCTAGCCGCCAGTTTAGACGTCTCCGTATTGAGTTTGAGTTGTAGCTGCAGTGGTTTTGGGCCAATCTCAAGCTACATTATTCCAAGAGCTCTTGCTGTGATTGCCATAAAACGGTTCTACTGGGGAAGTTTTCATACTACTCAGCACTGGGTTACTTCGGTCGATACCTTAAAGGTATCCAGTACAGATACCCAGCCTTAGGTAACGCTGGGTGATGGTTCATACACTGTCATTTAATGCGAGGTCTGTGTCTGTCATTGCTGCGTGTCAGGGGTGAAGAAGACGTTTCAGTGTGAGCTGTGTAGCTACACGTGCCCTCGACGCTCCAACCTGGACAGACACATGAAGAGCCACACGGATGAGAGACCTCACAAATGTCACCTGTGTGGAAGAGCCTTCAGGACGGTCACATTGCTAAGAAACCATCTCAACACACACACTGGTATACGCTACCACACGCCTTCATAAAATCAGCAACCGTAGGAGTAGTTTTAAGAGAAGACAACAATGGTTGAGTTTTTCAATGCCATGCAGCACGTGGAAAGCTGACACGTGTCTTTGTTTTTAATGTACGCAGGAACTCGTCCACACAAGTGCACAGACTGTGATATGGCTTTTGTGACTAGTGGAGAGTTGGTCCGCCATCGTCGCTACAAACACACACATGAGAAACCCTTCAAATGCTCAATGTGTGACTACGCCAGCGTGGAGGTAACCCCAGCTTCTGTCTGCTTGTGTTTCTATGTGACGTTGTCAAAGTGCAGTGTGTTACATTTTAGTGCCTGCACAATATATACACTTTTATACTGCTAACGAGAGGGAACTTAAGTTATGCAGAGCGCTCACTAACAGGCAGCTCAACAGAACAGCGTACACTTGTTTGTAACACGTTGCTATTAGCCGAATTAATTGGCTGTGCTTGAGTAGAACAGTAATGGTGGATGACAGACTCCAGACAGAGCAGATTCAAATGTCACTTAGTCATATAATGGCAGGTTATTATTGTTTGCCAGTGTTCTGAAATGTGTTTGTGTGTGGATGTTGTGTAGGTGAGCAAACTAAAGCGTCACATTCGTTCCCACACCGGTGAGCGTCCATTCCAGTGCAGTCTGTGCAGCTACGCCAGCAGAGACACGTACAAGCTGAAGAGACACATGAGGACACACTCGGGTAAGATGGACACCTTTACTGCTGATCTCCACTTGTAAAGCTGTCGAGGAGGAACAGGTGGTAGTTTTTGCAGATATAGGACCAGTATTGTTTTTAAAATGTTTAGCTCCCTTACTAAAGAATGTGTCCCAATCAAAAGGATTGGAGTTCACTTGACCTGTTGAGAAACCCCATTAGTTGTCAACTACAGAACTATACTTCACTTTAAGCAATACTGATGGATACAGGATTGTTAAAATCTATAGTTTTAGGGTAATTCATAAATTGTGTATCATACCTCCTGCATATTGTTACCTCTTAGGATTCTTTTGTATTCTTTTAATGTTCTGTTTGATGAAGAACATGAATGATGGCATTGAACAATGATACACCTGTCTACATCTCAATCCTCTTCTCAGGAGAGAAACCTTACGAGTGCTACATCTGCCACGCCCGATTCACCCAGAGTGGAACCATGAAGATGCACATTCTGCAGAAACACACAGAGAACGTGGCCAAATTCCACTGTCCACACTGTGACACAGTCATCGCACGCAAGAGCGACCTGGGTAATACCCTCACTCACACACACAGACCAGAGGGTTTGCTGTGCCGTGTTGTTTTATTCCCTCAATGTGTTTTCTGTTGTCGTCTGTGTGCTCCTCCAGGTGTCCACCTTCGTAAGCAGCACTCATTCATTGAGACTGGAAAGAAGTGTCGTTACTGCGACGCCGTTTTCCACGAGCGCTACGCCCTGATCCAGCACCAGAAGTCCCATAAGAACGAGAAGAGGTTCAAGTGCGACATGTGCGACTACTGCTGTCGCCAGGTGTGTACATACAAATATCTTTGTAGAGTCATGTGTGGGCTTACCGTTTCATTTGAATGTCAGTACCACTGAAATGATAACAATCATTCACTTTTGAAATGAATAATAGCAAAAACAAGAGTCTACAGCCCTGATGGAGACTCTGAGTTATGTTTACCAGATTGAGCATCTCAGTTTAGTGGGTCTGCTGGTAGATGGTAAACATTGTTACTGTAGGACTTAAGTTTGACCTGCTCTGGGCACTAGAGGAAAGGTCTTTAGGATTCATACGCTGTGGACCATCCTTCCAGTAGTCGTTGAGATATTTAATTCTGGACCAAAACGATGGACAGACCGACGTTGCCATCCACAGGGCATGGTCGCTACCATGGTTTTAACATGTTTTATTTTGAATGGATGTACAGTCCTTTTCCAAAACTGGACAACTAAAGATGAATATGAGACAAGAGATCAGCATTTAAGCTTTTATTTCCAGGTATTTGCATCTCGATCTGTTGAACAACCGAAGACAGAGCACCTTTTGTAAAGGAACGCCCGATGTTAAGCTGAGCAACGGTGTAAGAACTTAAAATAGATCAAAGTGATTCTTTCTTAATATTTAGCTGCAAATTCTTTGCTTTCAATAACTGCATCAAGTCTGCATGCCAAAAATCACTGGGGTCGGGGGGGTCCCTTGTGTGTCCTCTTTAGTGAGTCCAATGCATGCTCAGTCAGGGTTACGTCTGCAGAGTGACTCGGCTGGTCTAGAACCTCCCTGGTTGTTAGCAGTGTGTTTTGGGTCTTTGTAGTGCTGCATGATGAAGAATCTCTCAACCAGCTACGATGCATTTCTCTTTAAATGGTGGCCAGAGTGTTTCTGTAGACTTCTGAGTTCATTCTGCTGCTACCACGGTGTGTTCCCTCATCTATGTAGATCAGTCAGACGTTCCCTCCACAGCGCTTCACAGATGAGCTTGAGTGTTTGGGATCATGACCCTTTCTTTCTCCTCACACATTCGGTTAAAGGCTCATCTCTGTCTCATCAGTCCATACAACGTTGTCCCAGAACCTTTTGTTTCTCTTCTTTGTCAGAACCTTTTTTAGTCTCACTGCTGATGAATGGTTTGCATCTCCTGCTGTAGCCTCCGCAGGGCTCCGGACTCTGGTTGTATATGTGACCATTTTTCCGAGCATGCGAATTCCAATTTCACACGATCACATTTCTGCGAGTGTACATTGATCGTTCTGTAGTGGAGACCGTCTATTCCTCGGCCTCAAAAGTCAACTTGACGAGTGAGTGTTGAGCAGTTGGGATCACGGAGGGAGGGTCAAGCACCGTTACAGGCTTGTGCTCGCGGTACCTGACTCGTGCACGCGTACTTTTCTGCTCGCTCCGTGCGCTCACATGACGTGCATGCACCTGGTTTTTACATGCGCGGCTTGAGACTAATATAAACGCTATACGTGTACAGCATGTGTATGTACCAGTGGTTTTCCCTGGTCTGCTGGTTTGACGTCTGTTGCTCTGTGTACCAGTGGTTTCTTCTTCTTCAGGACATTCCAAATGGTTGTCCTGGCTATGGCCACCGTTTGTTCTGATTGATGCTCCTCCTTCTCTCAGCTCCCATAGCCCACTCACTTTAAAAATGAATGGGTTCAAACATATGGTGCCATCTTCTACGTTGTTTAACCGATCTAGATATAAATACCTGGCCATAGAAACTGAACTGCTGATATCTTGTCTCATATTCATCTTTTGACGTTTGGCCTCACCGTTCCAATGGTTCCAGAAGGAACTGTGTGGCACTGTCTGTGTACCTGTGTTTTCTAACGTTGTCTCGCATGCTGCTGGGTCCAGGAGCGCCACATGGTCATGCACCGTCGAACTCACACTGGAGAGAAACCATACGCCTGCAGCCAGTGTGAGAAGACCTTCAGGCAGAAGCAGCTGCTGGACATGCACTTCAAACGCTACCACGACCCCAACTTTGTCCCCACCGCCTTCGTCTGCCCCAAGTGTAGCAAGACCTTCACTCGCAGGGTAACGCCACTCTGTCTACCCGTCACGCACCTCAGGTGCTAGTGAGTAATCAGTTATAGAAGTCTACAGACTCTTTAACAGTGTGTTCTTGTAGAACACCATGGCTCGCCACTCGGAGAACTGCACTGGTGAGGTGGAGGATGCTGAGAATGGAGCCCCATCCCCGAAGAAAGGGAGGAGAGGAAGAAAGAGGAAGATGAGGAGCAGGAGAGATGAGGATGACAGCGGTGAGAATTTTACATTGTATGCCAGCGTGGGCGAGATGCTATGTTTGCTCTGGTCTGATCAGTTGACCTGATGTCTGTCTTTGTTGTTTCTCTGTGATGCAGAGGAGGAGGATCATGCTGAACTTGATGAGGAGGAGGAGGAGGAGGAAGGTGAAGGGGACGGCGAGGAAGAGGCGTCACTGCTACAGGAAGAGGAGGAGCCAGAAAGCATGGAACTGGACCAGGCCCCTGCCGCCATCCCAGTACCGGCTCCTGACGAGCCACCGGTCAAGAGGAAACGAGGCCGACCCCCAAAGAACGCACCCAAGCCTCCAACACCGAGCAAGTCCGCCAGGGTGGCTGCCAAGGTGGCTGCTTCTGGTGAGAACACGGACGGGATTTATTAGACAAGTTGATGTGGAGCGCTGGTTGCTTTTAGTTCATGTAATATCTAAGTACTGTAAGTGCACCATAGCTAATATTCTTTCCTAATCCTAATGGACGCAAGTAAACTCAAAGTTAAAATCGTTCAAGTCAGGCGAGAAATGTGCGTGTCGCTGTGTCTTTAAAGCCGATCAGCGTTGAGATGCTGATTCACCCAGAGCTCTACGATACCTCGTATTAGTAGAGACCGGACCGAACTATGTATAAACCGTACGGTACAAACAATGTGCATGTGCTACCTGCCACTTTGTCATTGACGTTATCGGTTGTGTTCTGCAGCTGCTGCCATCATTCAGGTGGAGGATGAGAGCACCGGAGCAGTGGAGAACATCATCGTGAAGAAGGAGGACAGCGACGCCTCTGCAGTGACACCTCTGGAGCAGGGAGTGGCCCTGACCGTGGAGGGGGTGGAGCTAGACGGGGAGGGGGTGGAGACTGTGGAGCTGGCCATGAACGAGGAAACGGCAACCGCCACCGCTAACGGAGATCTGACGCCGGAGATGATCCTCAGCATGATGGACCGGTGAACTCGCCACACAGCCACACGTGTAGCCGGACTACGAGTACACACATCAACATTTCCACATCCTTGGCCTTGTCCTCATGTACCATCTGTGTGGGCTTTTAACGACAGCCATTTTGCCTCCATTGGAGTGGCTACAAAAAAGATGGCGGCAGCAAAAACAACCATGCACAAAGAAGGGAAGCCGCATGTAAATATTTACACACACTAGCTTCAGATCCATGTCCATCAACTGCATACTGTTCATTGTGGGTCTCACACACACACACACACACACACACACACTCTAGCAGAGCCCACGTCGTATACAGATTTCGTCCAAGCTAATGACAGACTGCTCTCTGCTCTTAATGCTTTTCTCAGTTTGAATGTCTTCTGAATGAGTCATTGTGTGTTTTGCTACTTGTTTCTACCCAAAGCCACATCCTGTGTCAGTCTCTACCCACACACAGCTCCTCTACATGTCGCTCTGCCAAAAGGAGACATTATCTGATCTACCTTCACTTTTTACTTGCTTGCTCTTCTTGCAACCAACCCGATTTTGCAAATTCCAAGCCTTTCTATGTGTATATATAGATATAAATGTAGTTTTTCCTAATGAAAGCTAGTCTATGGTACATGACTTTGAGGTACCACCACTCTCAGCCATCTGTATATCTGTTCTCTAGTGTTTCCTCCTCAGCCTGTTTAAACACACATGTGTAAGTTAGCAGAGTTTATTCCTGAGCAGATACATTCTAATGAACAGAAGTGACATCCAGCAGCCGGCCCGGTTCTAATGGAGACTTCCCTCCATCAGCTCGGTGTGCTTTCCTCCTTCCTCACCGATGGAACATATTTGTCTTTCTCGTTAGCATGTTGAGGGAGCTAGTTTGCCGTCACATGAACTGAACCATCTTTGCCGGTTAGAGGAAATGCAGACGATCCTGATTCAGTTGGTGGAAAGTTGTTCTATAGTTGTTAACGTGGAATTATGTCAATGCATCTGAGCTCTGGGCAGACTCCAACGATGTTCTCCAAGGTTCTACCAGCCGCTCGGGTTCCTCCTTTAAAGTTCATCTTGGTTCTGGAACGAGGAATGCACGATGCTGATTGATGATACCGATCAGATAACGATAATGTCACTTTGTCTTTTTTCTTTTGAAAATAAGGTCGTAACGCACTTATGTCAAGAAAAGTAATTTGGCTTCTTTTTTTGACCGTGTTATTTTTTTTTATATATATATATATATATATATTTTGTGCCCCCCCCCCCCCCCCCACTACAATCAATGATCATCAACTTTGGCAGGTGGTTTGCATGTAAATACACATTTTAAAGCCTTTTCTTTTGATTGACGGTGAACCTTTTTTTAATATTTTGAAGCGGCTGACTTGGAGACGTTTGTTAAGCTGTTAATTTCCCCGGTGAATGCTGGTGCTCCATGTCCTGAGCCTTCCGTCTGCAGATGAACCGCTGACGTTCTGGAGCTCGTAGACATTCAGCTGCTTTCATTTCTGGCCCGTCTACAGTTTCCACTGCGGTCGGTTCAGTTCAGTGGTGACACAGAAGGTCTCTTTCTGTTCTCCTGAACCCTGTTAGTGAGGTTAGTTTCACCTTTTAAGAACAACAGGGGTGTTGAGTATCTGCTGAGAGACTCATCTAAACGCTTCTATAACATGTATGTAATATATACTATATGTTAAAGTCATCCAGAGGCTTTCCCTTGTTTTCCACCTGTAGCTGATACGGAGGTCTGTCTCCTGGAGGAATCAGGATTAGAACAGAAAACATCAAATGATTTGTCTTCTGAAGAGGTTCTGCTGGTTTCTATGTGGCCTTTCTGTCACAGTTGTTGGATGGAACCACTTCCATCAGTTGCATGGACACAGAGAGACGTCACTGACATCAAATGGACACTTTAGTAAGATGTGCTGCTGTGGTCTGACGTCTCATTCTGTAAAACAAGGAAGACCAAATGTTCTGTCGTCAACCGATCCATGTTGTCGTTCTGCAGGCAGACGGATGGATGTTTGACTGTTCTCATAGCAAAAGCAAAAAGTGTTGCTTTTTGTTTGCACATTGCTCGTTTGTTTTTGGCAGAAGAATTCAGAGAGAATGGTTTGAAGATCAGGAACACAGAAGAAACCTTTGTCATGTTGGAAGATGAGACACTGTACAGCTGATGACAAATAAAATCCTCCTAATGGGCTGTGACTGCTGCTGTTCTTTACCAGGTCAATACACACACACACACACACACACTACTCATGATCTGTGTTGGATAAAGGTGATCCATCACTGCAGGCTTCAGGTTTACACGTCACATCTGTGTGAGCTGCATACTGGATCACGATTGGCTTCCAAGATAGTTATGTCATCAAATCCTACACATGAACACATGAACAAGGGAATGGTAAATGGAGTTATGACCGCTCAGGGCGCTTCAATACTACATGTCATTCGTACACTGACGACAGGGGCTAACATGCAAGGTGTTTGTTTTGTTTACCATTCACTCCTATTCACACTCTGATGGCACAGTCCTGGGGTTTAGTGTCTTGCCCAAGGACACGTCGACATGGACTGGAGCAGCCGGGGATCGAACCAGCGATCCTCTGATTGAAAGCCTATATTATCGACTGAGGCCTGTTGTAGTACATCAGTAATAAGCCTGTATTACTGATGTAGTGAGGAAGGGTTCAGCAGGAGCGGGCAATGTTTTTCAAAAATAAAATGTATTGATTTAACAATGCAAATACTAACAACAACTCTGGCTTCAATACATTTATAAATCAGAGCGCACACAGAGAGCGTGTCTAGCAGAGCGGCTTCTCTCCATGTGAACAGCTGGTACAGTTTATCCTCACTCTAAAGGTTACACACAGATGTACCTCATTCAGTCCTATGCACAGTGTATGTGTATGTATTTGTCAGATACGTCTTATATTACCACCCAGCCAAATTCAACGCCTGTCATACACACACTCTCTATCACACACACCTTCAGTTAACTTTTGTCCCCTTGGTTGTTCTTTTCGTCTGGTTTTATTTTCTGTCTCTTATTTGCTGCTCTGGCTATTTTTGGGTCACTTCCAAGAATGCAAGAATAAAAAGCTGCCTTCTAGTATCAAACTCTACTCATACATCATTCTGCACGATGGAGCTCAAATATGCACATTTCTACACAAGTATATGTTTAATACAACACGGTTAAAGGCCGTTCTGCAACATCCTTCCATACTTCAAAACTAAGACTTTTGTACCGTCATTTTGAAAGACTGTAGTACTTTTACTAGTTATGTTGGTACTTGATCAAAACACTCCACTTGCATGATTAGGAAAAGCTAAATATTCTTTACAGCATGTTTGGTGCCCCCTGCTGGTCAGAGGTCAATCAAACAGCCTCGTTGTGGTTGTGCACGGACCGAACACACACCGTGTCGATTCTCTGAAGATCAAACACCACCTGTTGGTCTTTTTGAGTTGTCTGATGTGATTTGGAGTCCTTCATCTGTCTTTAAACGTCTCATACAGTCTGACTGGTGTCAGTGTCTCTCAGTGTGTGTGGGTGTGTGTCGTTCTTCTCTACATTCACTACAACAGTGACTCGACGTGGAACAGGATGTGTGTCAAATTTCATAAAGTGTGCACAATAGGCAAGAAAAGGAGACAAGTGTGCAAGCATGCACGGGTGGAAAAGAGAAAGTGGGTTACACTGTGTGTGTGTGTGTGTGTGTGTGTGTGTGTGTGTGTGTGTCTGTGTGTGCCTCCACCCTCCACATCGTCACCCTACATTTTCTGATTTCTGCTCCACGTACCAACACCTTCCTCCTCTGCTCTCTGCTCTACCACAGATGTATACGGATTGTCTCTTTCAGAATATATATTCTTTCCTCTGAACATATGGGTTGTTGACTGGATGTGTTTCCCTCCATTACCTCTTCTTTATGGATTGATAATGTGGTGTAAGACACCGGAAGAGCAGTAGATGATCACAGCTACACTGTTAGTTTCATTGAAGTGTGAAGGATGGACTCTGTCTCCCAGAACCTGAGAGGTAAGCCAACTTCATCAATGCTCTTTTTCACAGTTTGAAGATATGGAAATAGAGCAGTAAAGTAATAACCCATGGATTTCGAATGTTTTACCTCATGGACAGCACATCACATGTGTGTGTGTGTGTGTGTGTGTATGTATATGGCTATGTGTGTGTGTATATATATATATATATATATATATAGTTCCCAGTGAATTTAGTTCAAAGTGATGCAGTCTGAGCCACTAAACCTGTGATAAATCCAGCATCAATTAGGCTTAAAGTTGGGCTGGGTCATGTTTTTAGAAACGGGTTCAGTTCGTTCCATCCTCTATCCTCTATCCTCCATCTATGGTTCAGTCACACTAATTGATTAAAGCTACCTGCCTGTCTACCATTCACTGCATGTCACCGGAATCTTCCACAAGCTGCTAGCTGGACAGCTGTGATAAACCCAGAGATGAGTCAGCATACTTTACATTTCCAGTTCTCTTGTTGCAAAGTCAGTGTGTTTTTGGTTAGATGTCTGAAATAATAGGACATAAAATACGTCAGTAAAAATACCCTACTTGTGAATTGTGAAGCTTTTACGTGTCTTAAGAAAGTCGGTTGCTAACAGTTTAAATGAGTAGAACTAGAACACTAGACCTGAAGTCATGTGACCGTGATGGAGTTCCTTCATGTATAGCGTTAGCTTGTTACTTCTGGGGATTGCATTCACGCTTCAGAAATCATAATCATTAGTGAAGATGATCTTGCTGAACGAAACATGTCAATATCAGAAACGTTTGTTTAACACAGAGATTATTTTCTGCAATAATCCAAACTTCAATGGAAAAAAATCCATTTGGCTTTTTGTCAAAGGAACCAGTGATGCTAACTTCCTGTCGGCCTACGAGAAGACTTCATCATCCTGCAGGACTCTATAGCCATGTTGGTTGTTCACATTCATTGTCGTCATTCTGGGGGAGTGGCTTAGAAGGGCTGTCAGTGTTGATGACCTGGAGACTGAAACGCTAGATTTAGCGACTCTTAGAGCTAATGCTGCTAGCTACTTTCACTAGAAAACAGTGTTTAGGTTGGATCATTTAAAAAATCTAGGGTACTCTTGCTGGTCTCTAATGTTGCCGACCACAGCATTAATATTAGAAACATTTTTGTTTTGTAGTTTATGGTCTAAAACATGCAAAAATAGGAAAATATGAACCTAAATGTGACAAATGGAATACCAAAAACACAAACGGAGCCTTTGATTATTTTCATATAATTACAGAAAAGTGTACTGCGAGTGGATGACTCTCAAGCAGCTGTAAAATAAACTAGAAAATTTCACAAGAAATTTTGACTGTGTGGCTTCTACTACCCGAAGACGCAATATATATACACGCCAATATTACCGGTAGTATCATTGAGGTTCAATTGAGATATCGCTACTCTCTTTTCTGCATTTTAGATTCATACTCTTGGACTGAATCTTGTGTTCGTGATGGACAGTCCACAAATGGCTCCCATTATTTCTGTATTTCAGATATATAACTTTGTTTGAGACACATGCCTTTGAAAATTACATTTCTGTATTTGTGATGGAAAGACTTGAACTTAACATTTCTTAACATGAACCTCATTCTGAGCTTCATGTTAAGATACAGTTACTCCAAGGGGCTTTTATTTTGAAAGGAGGGGGAGAGGAGACAGAATCATAATGTTTGACACACATACACAGAGGTTATTAAATGACAGGCTTCATCACAAGCATTCCAGTTAAAATTCACTCTGTGGGGCTTTTATTTTGAAAGGGTGGGAAAATACAGAAATCGGAGACCACCTGTCTGAAAAATGTTGAAGGCCAAAAGCATTAAACTGCACTGCTGAAAACCCTTCTAGTTGAAATGTCTAACTGGCAGAGTTGGAAGCTAAACTGTATTATCGAAAGAAGCTAAGAGCTGAATTACAATGCAGGAAAAACTTGAAGCTAAACAATTTTACTGCCGTAGTGGTAGTAGTAGTAATAGTAGTAGCATAAGTAGAACTATTAGAAGTAGTAGTAGTAATAGTAGTATAACTATTAGTAGGAGTAGTAGTAATAGCAGTAGTAGTGATCATAATAGTAGTTGAAATAACAGTAGTGTTACTAGAAGTATTAGTAGAAGTAGTAGTAATAGTAGTATTGGTAGTAGCAGTAATGACAGCAGTAGCAGTACTAGTAGTAGACTATGACTAGTCATAGTCGTAGTAATAGATGTAGTAGTGGTTGTAGTTGATATAAAAGTACTATTTGTAGTAGTAGTAGTAGTAGTAGTAGTTTTATTAGTAGTTGCAGTAATAGTAGTAGCAATAGCAGTTGCAGTAGAAGTGGTAGTTGTATATTATTAGTGCTTTATTAGTGCTTTATTATTAGTAGTAAAAGCATTAGTAGCATTAGAAGAAGTACTAGTAGTAGCAGTAGTGATATTTGTAGTAGAAGTGGTAGTTGTAGTAGAAGTAGTATTAGTAGTAGAAGTATTAGTAGCATTCGAAGAAGAAGTAGTAGTATCAGTAGTCGTAGTAATAGCTGTAGTAGTGGTTGTAGTAGTTGAAATATCAGTAGTATTAGTAGAAGAAGTAGTAGTAGTAGAAGTAATAGCAGTATTTGAAGTTGCAGTAGTAGTAGTACTAGTAGTAGTCATACTAACAGCTGTAGTAGTATCAGTATTGGTAGTAGCATGAATAGCAGTAGTAGTAGTAATTGTAGTATAAGTAATAGTAGTAGTGGTAGAAAGGGGAAAAGTACATGACTGTATGAGAGAGACACTCTCCAAGTCATGTGTGTGTGTGTGTGTGTGCATGTGTGTGTCAGTGTGTTTGTGTGTTTATCAACTTCATTAATTAGCTCAATCACAAACACCTGTGTGCCTGCAGCCTTTACATAGAGATAAAGCTGTGAAACACCTGTCAAACAAAACCTCAAAACCCCATAACCATAGCTCCTATTGCTCCGATATTAGAACTGGAGAGGAAGGCTGACTTGATGAACGGATAGTGTGAGAATTTTGTCTGTAGTATAAAAAATGTGGCTTCAGTGGCGAACTAGAAATGGGGTACCGTGTTCTGTGGAAGATGTTCTTGGAGTAAGAATTGACATTGGTCTCTATGGAGCAGAAAGATGGTTTTCCTCTCAATTAAAGGCTGTTGTGCCAAATATGTAAATCTGTTGAATTCCACAGTCATATGTCTACGACCAGGACACGATTAGCTACTTTTCTACCAAAAATTATGCATGAAGAGTAAAACGTTTGGAAATATTGGCAAAATACAAATATTTTTACTATTTATATTTCACAAGATTCTGAAGCTCACTCTGAGCTGCGCAATACACACCCATTATAAAGTCAGAAAAGGACTGAAAAAATCATAAAAGTTCAAATGTGACTGTTCAAAAAGTGTAAAAGATATCAAAAAGCTGAAGATGGCAATAGCTCAGGGTTTTCTCAACATTTTACAGTTGAAATGGTGTCTGTAGCTGAAAGTATGAGGAAGTAGAAGGATTTGGAAGTTTAAGAAGATTTGAAAATTGTCTCCATAGACATCCCGTTCAAAAAAAAATATGAATATGTCAATAATTCATGCTGCATCATAAGACATCAGTAGGGTTCCAGCTTAGGCTTGATGTTTCAAAGGTCAAAGGTGATGAGTCAGGCTGTGTTTCAATGGTGACAGTATAACTGGCACCAACTGACAAAGAGAAGGAAGCATGACTCACACTGAGGTTTGATAATAATCGTATGAACATGTCTGTGAAGCTTTATACCACAGTGTAGACGTCTCTCTCTAACATCTTCACTTCCTGAGGACTATTCCACCATTCCAAACATTTAACTTGTGTAAAAAGTGAATCTACCAGGGTTGCACCAAAGTGTTTCATTCATTTCTATTTGATATTCATGTGTTTGTTGTCTGTGGTCAAACCGCTCCATGGTTCCTATCATGTCAAGTCAACAATTTAAACAATCTAAACCACTTCTAAATAAATAGATAAAAGGTGACGTCTTGTCTTGTCTTGGTGTTTTTACCTTGTTTAAATACGGCCATCTTGTCACTCCATGGGCAGAACTACAGAACCGAGATCCACAGTTGAAAAACTGGACTAAAAGCAGTAAATGTTCCTGAAATAAGGACTCTCCATTCCTCACTAAACAGGGTAACACAGTGAGTACCTGGACAGACAATAAATGAACATAATTAGATAGATAGATAGTGGTTATAGAACCTATTAACCCTTCAACATATTATTGATAAACAGTGGATATTCTATCCATGCTTTGCCTCCGTTATTCTCCACTAATTTAGGTAATCCCATTGAAATGAACAGATTTTCCTTTTAAATCATAGTAATAAATGTTGTTATGACTGAGCCTTTAAACAGAGGACACGCCTGGCTATATTTACCAAACCACCTGTCCCTGCTGTGCCCAATCAGCAATCAGCATACCTTTTGTTCCATAAATAGCACCTTCATGAATTATCTTAAAAGGTTCTCTATACAATATTCAGAGCATTCATATAGCAGCAAAGAGCTGTTGTCTATGTAAAGATATAGAGGAGTAATGTGTTGCTTTAGAAACACACTGGATCGGTCCCAACTCATGGCCGATGCTCTCACATGGCAGCTTCAGCTTGTAATGTGTGACTGATACTTGTGTTTGTGTCTGTAACCTGTGACCAGATCAGATCTCAGAGCTGCTGAAGCCTCACCGAGTCTGTCTGGTGACGCCTGTCCTTCTGAACCACTCCAGTCAGCCATGTGGCAGATCAGCCAGCAGGTTTGTGGTGAGTGACGGACAAACTCCTCCTGGACAATAAAGGCTTTCAACCTAATATTACGTTTGTTATGTTGCTTAGTGTGTAGAAACCAGTGCAAAATAGAGACGATATATTTGGATGGAATGAGCAGAAATCAGATCCTTCTAGATGTATGTTAAGGACTGGTGTGCACACTGCTGTCTGATGGTCCTGTCCTGTTTGATCAGTGTTATCCAGTCTCCTTGGGGGCCAGACTCTTGGTCCATGAAAGCCCCAGCTCCCTGTGTGTCACTTGGTTTGTGGCATTCTGTTTGATTTTGTCCAGGAATATGCAGAACTAAAGTGCAATAGCAACTGAAATGATACCTGATATCTGATGATCTTTGTGTCAAATCTAATTGTAAAACTAACTAACCTAAACATAACATTCCTGTTCAATGCTGTACAACCAATGCAACAAGCATCAAGCAGCTATGGGTCTGTCAGTCCCACATCTAACGTCATGTCTCCCTCCTCCTTCTCATCTTAGGTACTGAGTCTATGGAGAGGTTACCTGGTTATCAGCAAGCAGCCTGTCAGGGTAAGTCACACCTGTTAAAGGGACAGTGTGCAGCTCTTGGTGGGATCCAGCTGTGTGGTTGTAGAATCACTCCTCGTTTTCCAAGACTGTAGTAACGTGAGTCTCCGAGTGGAAATAAGTGGTAACGATATTCGCCTCGTTCAGAGGCCATCCATACCATAATAGCATCACTGTTGCAGAAGTCAATCAGCGGCTGGAGGTACCACAACTTTGCACTCGGTGGCTCACGTTGCCACAGTTTAACAAGCGTGTAGGAGAACTACGGTGGCCTTCAGCTAACATAATGTGAAAGGCTCTCATTAGAGACGGTGTTTGGTTTGTCCGTTCTGGGCTACTGTAGAAATATGGTGGTACAACACTGCAGACTCTGAAGAGGACCAGCTCCCTCTATAGATATGAAGGGTTCATTCTGAGCTAACAGAAATGTGACTATACACTAAAGAAAACATAGATGTGAATATTATATTCCATTTCTGCTGATATATCCCCTAAATGATACACACTGGACCTTTAAAACATCTATTTTAGCACATTTTATGGTATGGTTTGATATATGTGGGTTTTGTTTTTCTCATCTGTGACACTTCTCATCCTGAGCTCTCCTCTGTGTCAAGATAACCGATTGTGAGATTGGGGTTGCAGAGGTTTTGCAAAAGGGCAGCATTTATGCCACATACAGTATGTTTCTCTTCATTTTCAGGACTTCATATACACACAAATCCCAAACAAAAAATCATATACACACCAATGTTCATACCTCAGTTTTATATTTGGGTCGCGGGGACAGCAGGCTTAGCAGGTTATTCCAGACTGAGGACCGAAGTACCTCAGCTGGCCCCTTACGTCAAGAAGGAGCAGCGGCTCTACTCCGAGTTCCCTCAAGATGTCCAAGCTCCTCATCCTTTCTCTAAGGCTGAGCCCAACCACTCTATCAATGGAGCTCATTTCAGTCACTTATATACGCAATCTCATTCTTCCAGTCACTTCCCCAAGCTCACGACCAAAGGTGAGGGTAAGGCTTAGATGGACTGGTAAATCTTCAACCATGACGGTCCGTTACAACACCAGCAGCAACAAGATCCTGAGATACTTGAACTGCCTTGGTTGGTGCAGTGACTCAGTCTCAACCCAGACGGCAGAGAACCATGGCCTCAGACTTGGAGGTACTGACCCTATTTCCAACTGTTTCCCACTGGGCTACAAACCGGCCCAGTGTGTGCTGAAGGTCACGTTCTGAAGAAGCCAACAGAACCACATCACCTGCAAAGAGGTCTTCAAACACTGTCCTCCCCCTGGCTGTGCCTTGAGATACTTTACAGGAAAATCACAACCAAGATTGGTGACAGGACCACCCTGAGGCCAACGCACTGAAAACATGTTTGACTTTATGCCGAGTATCCGGACACAGCTGTCATTTTGATCCCACGAGGACCGGATGGCTCGTAGCAATGACCCGATACCCTGTATTCCCTCAATACCCCCCACACGACTCCCGAGGGACTCGGTCATAAGCCTTCCCCAAGTCCAAAAAACACTGGGCAAACTCCCATGACCCCTCCAACAGACCTGCATGGGTTGAAAGCTGTTCCACTGGACCACATTTTGTCTTTATTATTTATTTATCATTATTACATTATTCGGTAAGAGGGCACAGGATTCACCTGTTATTAAGCCAAAGAGGGCGCAGATTGACTCCGGGTCAAATTGAGTTACAAACAGCTCACTATGAGCTTTAAAATACTAATAATCCATTCATTAATAATCCAGAAGGTAGAGAGTTTAGGACATAGGCAAAACATGTGTGTCATGTCTGCTGACATATCGGATGTTAGATAAATCTTTACCCATCTAGCATTGGCGTAATGAGCCCTGTGCACCACCTCTAGCTGTAGTAAGTTATGTTTAGCAGACGTAGATGATGTATGTAAGTCTAAAATAGAGTCCCATTGGTCATTTGTTACAACCACTCCAAGATCTGACTCCCAGGCCATTCTTAAGTTCTCAAAGGAGTGTGGGTTGATGTTGTTAATGAACTTATAAGTCTGGGAAATCAATCCTCTACTGTTCAATTCTAGGAGGCTGTCAACATGTGATTTCATAAGCTTATTCAGAAATGAGTCAAATGTCTTTTATACGAAGCTCCTCACCTGCAAGTAACGGAAAAAATGGTTCCTTGGTAGATCATAAGTTTGTGATAGTGAAGGAAATGTATCTTCTCTGTATAAATGATGGATTGATCTGATCCCATTATCAAACCATAGAGTGCATGGTCTGTAAGGAGAGAATGAACATGTGATTCAGCTTCACGGGGGAGAGGCTCGAGGCTCCTTGCAGCCCAACATGTCTCCTAAACTGAACCCATATTCTTATTGTGTGATTTACTATTATGTTTGTACTCGAAATGGAACGCTGCTGTTGAACGTTCAAATCATATTTTCTTTCAGCACAAACTAAATACCAGCTGCCTTCATTTTATGAGGGGGGAGACGAACATTTTAAAACCTGAACAAATGAAAGCAGCACGTAGAGACAGACTGGGAGCCTTTTAACCACCGTGGTCACTGAAAGGTTCTTTCCAGTAAGATGTTCTCGTGTCCTGTGTGTGTATGTGTCAGGTGGAGAGCACGTTCAGCTACTTGGAGATCTGCTCCATAAACATTCACAGTCTCACACAGGTACAAGATTGTTTTTATTGAAACCATTCTTGTTTTTGATATTTATTCAAGTGTTTTCTTTGCATTCCTTCTGTTCATCCTGGATGGAAGGCCGTTTGACTTTGCTCGGTAACTAGTGAGGCTTGAAGTGTTTACTAGTTGAGTTAGTGAAAGACAAATTGCTCACTAGTTATAATAGTTGCACAAAATGCTAATGAGGAGGTGGGGGAAGGTGTGCATTGAGGCTTCCTATTGGTTTTCCAGCTCAAAATAAAAGATACCAACGGATCAGGACTCAGGATTGTGTCATTGTCCTGCCTGCTCCATTGGTTTACATGTTGGTCTGAGGAACTGCAACTAGCTCACTAGTGGCTGCATGGTGCATCTGATTAACTAGTTGGGGTCTATTTTGACCTTTCTGGCTCCAGATGTTTATTCTCATTAACTTGTTTAACTAGTGAGCACTAGTGGAGGTAACTGACATCTTACATCAAGGATATGCAATAAATGCTCAATGATGCTTCATGATCAAAATACATAGTGAGCAATATACAGTCGGCTAATCATTGTAAAATACTGTGAGATTATGTACATACATATCTCTATATATATCAATTTATAGAGATGAAAATCAAGATAATTAAGGCTATTGCTTCTACGTTTTTACTGTTTTTAATGTTTGATGTTAACATACATGTATGTTGCAGATTGTGATGGAGACAGACAGGCACACTCTGTCTTTTAGTGTGTCACACGTTGAGGACCTTGAGGCCATGGTCAGTCACATGACCGCCTCACTCAAGAGGGTCTTCCCTGATTCCTCTCCAGGGTGAGTCTCACTCATGATAGAAAATGATCTCAACTACATATAGTAAAAATATTTCAAAATCCAGCCAAAATGAAATGCAACATAAACTGCATTTGAGGAATACAGTTTGCTAGTACCAGCTAAAGTTAGCAGCCATCCCTCCATCCAGTTGTTTAGCCTTCTGGCTCCTAGCTAGTTGTGACTTGTGATAGCATCCTATTTAGTCTGAATGAGCCCTAGACCGAGGCTGGACCAGGGGCTGGGAGGCGGAGTTAAAAGAAACGCTCTTTGGGCCCACAGATGCAGAAGATCCCTTTAGTTGAATCACTTGCCAGTTGAGACATTTTGGCTTCATGCGCCACTGAGTAATAGGAACTATAGGGAGCCCGCCTGAAGAGCTGTATCCAGTTCTGTTTATACATCCATGCTTGTGGTCGTCTGGCTTTTTTCATAGTTTTAAATAAAATACCTAAACTACTGAATGGATTGTCATGACTTTTGTTTCTCATGTGCATGGCCTCTCTTTACTCTCCTGAATCATCAGTTTGTCCAATTTAGTTTTTGACCTGCAAAACTAATGACATTGTGTTTTAGTGTTTAGTGCTAATTAGCGATCGTTTGCATGCTAACATGCTATATCTGTCAGTCTTCAGCAGTATATTTCTTGTCCTTCAATCGTCAGAAAGCTGTTGAAGACGAGTCCTCCAGACCTCCAGCAGAGACTCCTCACATTGACGGATGTGATAGAAGAGCAGCTGGACAGTCGGCCTACTTCCTGTGGTATGTGTCCTTTATTTTACAGTAAATCATCACCTGTTACTCACACCTGGTGATTTGAAGATTAGCACTGTACTATCCAGTAGAAATATTAGTTCTGTAGATTAGTGCATGCGGCCAGATGATCATTGATACATTGGCTCCTGAAGGAAGCTTGTGTGTTTGCAGATGGATAGTGTCTGATTGTGTTCCTCAGGAGGGTTCTCTGATACCTACGCTGCTCTGTGTGACTTCAACCAGATACCATTCAGAGAGGAGATCCAATGGGTGAGTCACGACTGTACTGCAACATGACATACTTTATTAGGCCATGTGTATCAAACTTTACAAGTACCTCTTTTGCCATAAACTACTCAAGTGACACTTAATAGCCGCTTGACAAAAAGAGAATGTTATCAGTGGTGTTTCCAAACTGTTGTGACAGGATGTGGACAACATCTACTGCACTAACAAGTGGAGAGAGTTCAACCTGCAGGACTTCAGCCACTTAGACAGCAGGTGAGATACAGTACAGTGTTGTTACATCCGGTCTTAAGGGTACATTGTCTTTCTGCTTTGTTTTAGTTGTTTATATTCTTATGTATTCAAGTCCAAACATACACATTTGGGTCAAACTATGCACAATGCGTCACAATGCTATTTTCCCAAGCCTTTTTAAAAACATGTTCCCACCTGACCTGATGTATGATGATGCTGCTACATATACAGTTATAGACAGTGTATTACATACTAGCAGACAGGTGTGTAATGTAGTACAATGTACTGATGTGGACGCCACCTTAGTTCTGAATCTGAAAGTCACTCAATAACACAACACCAACTCACTGGTAGAAGCAGAGGTAGACCAGCAGCTCCTGTGTTCTATGTAGGAACATTACTAGTTTTGTCAATGGAGTCTTGTGGCTTTCAAGAGAGCATTGATGATGGCTTGAGTTCCCCATCAAAAACATCATCAGTTCAAAGCAGACTAAAGCAGTTCAAATATTCTAAATAGGGCAAAGTCCTGAATATGATATTGATTTTGTTAGGTAGGTAAAATACGTATTTCTGCTGCTCCCATCCACAGCCACTTCATCTTGCCATCAGACAGCCCTTCAGACGGGGAACTGAAGCTTTTTCATCACTTTCTTCAATTGACTCCATCGACAAAAGCATCAATCTGACAGAAGAAGAACGCTTCAAAATATCAGAACTAACGCTTTCAGTTATTTCCACACTTTCCACAGCTAGCCTTGTGCAACCTAGTGCTAGCGTTCACATTATTCATAAAATATTGATCAGCTTACTTTGGTCACCTACATCACTCCTTTGTGCTAACGGCTGAGTGGGAGTTTAAGCTAAGCTAACTCTTTAAACTCCTTCCTTTCCTCTCAGGGACTTGGCATTAGCAGTAGCAGCTCTGTCTTTCAACCAGTGGTTTACCAAGATCTACTGCAAAGACCTCAAACTGGTAAACTCTCTTATTGTTTGTGTTCTGGTGAAATGATTGAATAAAGGTTTTGCAGAAGTTGGTGTCACTTGCATGTCAGCCCATAATCCCATTTCATGGGAAAAATGTAGAAGAGGTGCTTCATATGCAAAGGGAATGAATTTATAGCGTGAGCTAAAGGACACGATGACATGAGAGCAGGTGGTGGCACACAATCCATGAGCTCTTGGTGGATCTGTAGTTATACAGCTGCCTACCATCCATCTTCCAAACGTTTACTGGAAGCAATTTCCTCCTCTCCATCTTCCATTAAGTGTTACCTTCCTAGACCAGAATACACCGTAAGAGATGGGGGACGAAGTCCTTGTTCGGCGTAGAATAAATGTTCTTAAGTTCATTGACACGGATTGTTTAAGACAGAGTGAATACGCGTTTATTCAGTCAGACAGTATGAGAAAAATAACATTTAACATTAAAGCAGTTAAACATGTTCTAGCAGAAACCCAAAATACAAATATGAACCTGAATATGAGCATGATAAGACCCTGAGGAGTTCATCCCACCACAAGTCTCCACTCGGTCCTGGAACAGTCAAAATGAACTTTGGTGGTACCAGACTGAGAAGTTGTCTTTAGACTGCCTGTCTCTGTGTCTCTGTCCCTTCAGTCAGTAGAAGTTCAGCAGCAGCTGACGTACCTGCTGTCCAGATCTCCCAGTCTGGAGGAGCTCTCACTGGAGGCCAGTGGACTCAAGCTGTGAGTTTGTGTGGGAGTGTGTGCAGAGCAAGGCAGGGAGGCAAAGTTCCCAGACATGAATATTAACATACTTTAGGAAGATTTGTGTTTTACTGTCGGCTGGTGATTTGAATGTGCACATTGACAGACGGACCGAGGGACACTCCTTGAGAAAGATTGAAGCTACACATTAATCCAAGCAGGCTGTTTGTAATTCTTAATTCACACGTACAGGGATTGATTGAGAAGTAACCTTGTTATTCTGCTGCAGGGACTTTGCAATCAAGATGGCAGCTGCCCTGCGGGAGCACAGCTCCTCTACCCTGACATCCATCAACCTCTCTGGCAATCCAATCGAAGACAAAGGTGGTCTTTCTATACAGCACGTCTGAGTGCTCTCACAACAGCTCTAGAATAGAGGAGGTGTTGATGTTCCATCTGAAGCCAGGTGGCCGGTTCTCCTGTTAGCCTTCCTCTGTGGAGATTTGTGAGTGAAATGTGGGTTTAGCTGGAGGGACACTTGCCATCTTCTTCTGGTGGTATCTAGCAGATAGTCTGGAGGGAGAAGTTTAAGCTTTGATGTTTCTAATTCCACCAAAGTCTCTTTTCTGCTTTGACAAGTCTGCTGTGAAGATGGTCTAAGTGTACAAACTAAGGGCCACTGTCTTCATATCAGTTAGTCATTTTAAATGAACATTAGCAATGCGTACTTCAGAACGGCCAACATGTTTGTGTGAGTATGCACACTGTAATTTAGCCATATTTAGTGTGAGTGTGTTGTCATTCCCAGGTGTCATAGCTCTCACTCAGGAGTTGGAGAATCTAGCTGAAGGACTCAAGCAGCTTTCTCTGTCCCGGGTATCAATGACTGCTAAAGGTACACACACACACACACACACACACACACTCACACACACACACACTTACGCTCACTCTGTGGTAACAAACCTCCTCCAGCACCATCCCTGCATGAGTGTGATGTGTTGCTCTCCAGGTCTTGGCTGTCTGAGTCAGCTGTTATCCTCCACTCAGCTGTTCTCAGCATCTCTGACCCACCTCGACCTCTCTGGCAACCCCGGCAGCCTGGTTACTGAAGATGCAACGGTACGCTCTGCTCTGTGTGTGTGTTTCATGTCAAATGATGTGGATTGAAGATAGATATTGTTGCATGAAAAGCATGTATACATGGATACATATGCACATACTGTCCATACAAATCCAGAAGTGGAGCTGTAACTGGGAGGTTCAGGAGATAACGAAGCATTTCTACTGTTACAGACGAGTGGATGTCACGATATACAATCGTAGTTTCAAGGTTTTCAACACATCAAACTCAACACATCTCTACATTGAGCGGTGCAAAGGAAACCCGATATAAGCAGAGTTTAACTGGAGATGACAGGACGGCAGCCGGCATCAGCGGCACCATCTCGGAAACCAAAATATATAATAAATATAAGTTAGAGAAATAATACGGAAAATATGAAAAAGGGACGCTGCATTTTAATGCTCTACTCATAATACTGAAGGTCCTGGTTTATACATATCCTAGTTAACAGCTGGAGAGAAAAACATTTCATTTAGTTTTCAGCAACACTTTTAACTGTGAAGCACACCATGTCTGAACATCTTAAACACATGCTGTACAACACATACAGTATGTATAAGCAGTGTGTGTGTGTGTGTGTGTGTGTGTGTCTTGCAGTTCCTCTTCAAGTTCTTGTCCAGTACTAACTCTCTGTCTCATCTGGACCTCAGCGATACCAGCTGCCCTCTGGACACGGTCAGTGAGAGACGGTTCTTACTAAAGTATGCAGCTCAGGGTTGCACCACAACATGTAGCTGAAGCCCATCTGCTACTCAAAAAAGATCAGTGGTGCATTACTGTATTGCATTATTTAAATTTGCATCAGGAGGAATGCAGACAGAAGCAACAAAGCAATTCTCTGGGGAGATAACATGGCCGACATCTTAACATTAAAAATCAGGGAAACACTGTCCGTCAACTTTGACTGTTTGAGCACCGAGCATCACGATGTACACTTGTTTCTGATGAGGGAACAGCTGCTGGGTTCAGTTTTCCTGCGACTGGACGTTAGCCAGGAGCAGGTGGTGGTGGAACAGCCTTCGGTCTCTTCCCTCTCGACTCAGCGCCGTTGGGTCGGGCTAGTCTGGCTGGGTGGTCGGCTGTGGGCGATGATTATCTCAAGGTCCACTCCCGACAGATGAATCGGATCCCCACAATTCCTTCTACGATTTAAATGAGTGTGTTCTGTCATATGGCATAAGTGCTCCAGTGATAAAGTCCATGTCCAGCCACAGCATGGACATGCGATGCCGTTCTAAATGCTATTTGATAGATTTCCCCTAAAGGAATAATAGTCAAACATTTTGTAAAGTAAGCTTGCCGTCAGAGGAGGAGGTTGGTAGGGTTCTAGTCTTTGTCATTCAGCACAGAGATATATCCAGGGAGTGTTTAGCCTAGCTTAGCAAGAAGCCTGGAAGCAGCCTAGCTCCATCAAAAGTTTAAAAACCCATCAATGAATTGAATACATGTTCCCATTGATTACTTGATTTCTTGGTTTGCGGGAGATGGAGTCAGTGTTTGTCACTGAATTCTTTCTCCGGATGGGGATTCTAGTGAGATCTGCCAGTGTAGTGGTGCAGTGGAGAGAGCTGGGGTCACTGAGTATCTGGATGGCATCAGCTGGAAGGAGCACCAGGCTGCAGCGTTACTACTTATTAATCGATTTGTCTCATACTCAGTGTATAATGAAGATGTCCTACGATGTAAGAGCTGAGAGTGAAAGTCTGGATGTATTGAAGGGGGAAGGGGGCCCACTGTGGCTGCATGTCTATGGGGTCCAGATCTTTGTGCTACACCACTGTTGTTAATTGAACTATTGTGAATTATTATGTATTGAAGTGCTGCACGTGTCATTCTGTACATACCACTCTCACATTGTACCTTTCTCTTGCAGTTATTTGTGTCCCTGTCTGCCGGATGTTGTTACAAACTGATGCGCCTGAGCTTGGCCAGGAACCCTTTCAGCCACAGGTCAGCTCCACTGTTCACTTCAGTAACGTCACTCTGGTTTGGAGATGTAGGACCTGTGAACTTGTCATCCTCTCTGCATTAGAGAAGTCAGTATTATTGTAGTAATAGAGTCGTTACCACTGCACATCTACTATCATGGATCATAACAATACTTAGCTCATTTAAGTTTTTACTGTAATTTCCTTATTTCTGATTTTGTTTTACAGGACATTAACCCCCAAATCAGTAGATTGGATCTGTTACTTATGTTCTGAAGTAACACTACTCAGTGTCTTAGTTATTCTAACCCAACAGTTGACTTATTTGTTACGTAACTTCTGTACTGAAAGCGTAACTTCACCCCCGGGTCTTAGGGTCTAAGTCCAACCAATGCAGTATTTTGAAAAATGCAAAAAAGTGGGCAAGAGGCTGAGGGATGAAAGGAAGCCAACTTCCGTGTGACTAAAGGCTGGACGCAGCGTCGACAAATATGACAGCTACAGTAGCTCGGAGAATAGCAATATGGCATTGGGTGCTGAAATTGATGGATTTACTATTGATAGTGCCACGGATCAGACACAGATTACACCTGCCATCCCTCCACCTCACTCCCCTCCACTGGGACACTACTTTGCCGGGAGGAAAGCTGGCACCAGCTCCGGAGCAGCGACCCAGAGCTGTAACCAGCGTAACGTTAGCGTGATAACATGGCGGGAGTAGTGCGCTAATGTTAGCTGTGACTGTAATGCTACACAGGGTGTGGAGATAGTCAGGGAGGGGGTCTGATTCAAGGCCGTTAGCTTTCTTTTATTTCATGACGTAGATTGGCCCAAAACGGTCGACTCTATCTCAGAATTGTTTTGCGAGATCCGGGCTGATTTGAAACAATAGATGGTGTTTTGAGCCATTTTCAACCATAAAATGCAGATTTTTATAAATTTTGTATGAAATAATTATAACACCAGCATTGATGTGTTCCATCAGAGTACAGTCATACATTTTAGTTCATAGCTTTAAAAAACATGCTCAAGTTACTCTGTCAGTAATGACACCTCCGTAGTTATTATCTCGTACATAGGTAACAATGCTTATGTCGTTTCTTTTTAACCCAGACATTGACTTATTTGTTACGTAACTGTCGTTAACTTGTCTACACTTCAGTAGTTATTTGAACCTAAAACTAAGCAGGCGCTCTGATCGCTATAAGATATCAAACAGAGCGTTATATAAGGACATGAGGACTGTAGTGAGTCAGTACTTCTGTAGTTCTGACCCTACTCTACTCTATTTCTGCACAATGACCATCTCCATTAGTTTTAACAATGCACTGGTGGGTAATTCACCATATAGGGCATAACTATTCTGACTAGACACTCAGACAACATGACAAAAAGGTGAAACATGATTTAGAACACAGCAAAGACATGTTGACTTGTTACAGAAAGTATCTAATCATGGATGTCTCTGTTCCATTTGAAGTGACCTGAAATGTAAATGAGTCAGGTGGTGGAAACAGCAGCTACGATCTCATCCAACTACATGTTATAGTGTGGTTAATAGAATTGATATACACTACAGGTGTGTTGTACGATGGGCAGTGTGAAGTGTATTTGTTGGCTAGAGGCAGTCTGTGCATGTACTGTAGGTACTGTGTGTGCGTGCATGTGGACTGGAGGCAGTCTGTGCATGTACTGTATGTATGCAATATGTTATTCTGTATTTTTTTTAACAGCAGACACTGTATGTTTCCAAGACAAATTTCCTTCAGGACAATAAAGTCTATCTTATCTTATCTTAATTGAAAAGAAAGGTTGTTAAGGCTCCAGGTGACTATGAAAGTGTTTGTGTGTGCCTGTGTGTAGAAAGGTGCAGAAGATGACCAGGAGCATTGGAGAGTTCTTCAGTCAGAGCTGTGAGCTCAAACATGTGGGCCTGTCTGCAACCAAACTTCCTCCCCAAGCCCTCAGGTGTGTTTCCTCCCAACACATGCAGTAATGTAATATTCACTTTCTAATGAGCGGGACGTGAAAGTTCTACCTGTCTTGCTGTATGATGAGGTTTCAAGTCGGTTGCACACACATCACATCTGGCTTTACTTTATTGCTAGATCACCAATAAAATGCGAGAGTATCGCTACTATATACAAAAAAAAAGTATTAACCACAAGTTTTCTGACTGGATTTTATCTGAGGATTGTTTCTAACGTCTTCCCACGTCAGTTCTACCAGACAGATCCCGCTGTGTGGTTGATTACTTCCACAACAAAGGTTATTAGAGTTTGCCCTTTGTGCTCTTTCACCAATAACTTAACTTGCAAGTCCTGCACCTCAACAGCAATGGCACAAACATGACTAGAAAATATGTATTTTGTGTAGTATAAGACAGTTTTAATGCCATAAATCATTCAAAAGATTTTCAAACCCACTGGCAGCTTTTGGGGCTCAGTGGGTTGTTTCGCTGCCTCAGCATTAGCCGCGCTCTTCTTCTGTATTTCCACCTGTTTGTAAGTTGTGACACCTCGGTTGTGTTCCGGCTTCACATTTCCTGTATTGATGATTACCCCCGCTACTCAAAAAGAGTTAACTTCTCTCTGGAAATATATTGGTCAATACACGTATACCTTTCATTTTCTCCAACTTAGCTTAGTTTTTGGTCGCCTGTGCTTAATGACGTCACACTGCAGAAAACTAGCATAGCATCTAGTGGCTGTAGCTAACGTTAGCTTGCGTTGTGTTTTATGTCAAAAAGAGACCTTAATTTAAACGTTTCCGTAATTGTAAGAAATTGAATGGTTTAAAGAACACTGGCCTCGTGGCTAGGTGTTCATGATAATGTATGTGAAGGTACCAACACATACAGTAATGCTGTTCTATTATTTTAATAGCAACCATAGACGTGGACTTGTTGAGCATCACTCATGGGCTTCTTATGGGATGTTTCCAAGCAGTTCAGGTTCACAGCTGGCTTTGCTGCCACCGTACCAGTTACTAGAGCAGAGGAGGGAACACACACCACGACACACACGCCAGTGAATGACTATTGTAATCATTTTATTCTGAGAACTGTTATCTCTCCACACACACAACACACTTTACATATTCCAGCTGTGTTTCAGTGGTCAAAGCAGCTCTGCTATACCGTGTATACACTTGTGTATCTCATGGGTATATGTTTTATTTTACAACTAGGTTATTACTACAGGGTCTGGCAACCAACACTCGTCTGTTTGGGCTAGAGTTGGACCTCAGTAGCTGTGAGGTACAGTACACACTCTCACACATTTATGATGATACAGAAGCTACAGTAAACAAACTATTGTATGCCTGTGTGTGTGTGTGTGTGTGTGTGTGTGTGTGTGTGTGTGTGTGTGTGCGTGCATATATCTGTGTGTGTGTAGCTGCGCTCTGCAGGGGCCCAGGTGATACAGGAGCACATCTCTGAAGCCACAGCTATCAGACGTCTGGATCTCTCTGACAATGGTATGCAAAAGCAAACACACTCACAGAGGAGGAGAGGGGCATTCACACAATCACTCTCCAGTTCTAGCACTCGTTCCAGGACATCATCCCGCAGTCCAGAAATGCATACATGGAACAAGACAAGGACACAAGTTTCACAGTGTAACATGGTGCAACTGGTATGCTACAGCAGTGTTTTTCAACCTCTTCTGAGCCACGGTACATTTATTACATTAAAAAGATCCCGCGGCACACCAACAGCCAAAGAAGTTACAAAATGACACATTGTAGCATAATACAGGATACAGGCTGACAATTTAATGACAAGTCTCTCAATGTGTGATCCTCACTCGGTGTGAACCCTGGGCCTGTTTAGAGGAACACAACGCTGACATCCTGGCACAAACTGAAGAAAGGCTCACGGAGCTCTTCCTCAACAGCTCTCAGTCTCTCTGTTTTTAGTTTTTATAGCAGTCATGCTTGAAAAGCTCATCTCCCACGAGGCTTTTCATCTGGGTTATTTTGTCCAGGCCTCAGTTCAGAGTCTGCATTTTTCCTTTTCAAATATTTCTCCATCGCTGTTCGTCTTGTCACCACAACCTCTGCTGTGCATCATTTAATTCTACCGTCTTAAATGAACACGGTCATTACTGCCCTACCTACTGCCACCCACTGGCATGAGAATGAGTGTGCTACAGTACAATGTATTCACTCTGGTGATATCACGATCCTCCATTAAACTGTTCAACCTCATGTGGGTGTTAGAGGGTGAATGTTTAGCTGATGTTTTGTTGACCAATGTATTACCACCTGTTGTAGCCAATTAGCATGTAAACAGTTAAAAAGACTCTAAAACAATTAAGTTACATAAAGAATTGGTCATGAATTACAATAGGAATGTACCAATAATGTCAGAAATGAGATAAAAGAACGTAGAATATGCTAATGCCTCTGCAAAATGACTCTACTTCTCTCTTGATTTATTACCTCAGTAAACATTGTAAACATGAGTTTATGGTCTCAATCTCTAGTTTCAAGTCTTCTTCAATACAGCATGATGTTCATTTAGTACATTATGGTCCATTTAGAGTCAAACAGACCATAAAGCAGGGGATGCTAGGGCGGGGCTACACGGTGATTGACAGGTCTCTACTACGGCATTGTCCGGTCTGGGAGTTGTCTGTGTTTTTGTCTTAGAACTTTAACCCTTTCGGGTGTTTTCACTTCATGAAAGTTGATTGTAGCATTTTAGTCACCTGTCATCATTCAGTTGTACTTAGCTCCACCCTCTTGTTTCCCTTTTGGTTCCAAACAACCAAGATGGCGACGGCCAAAATGTTGAACTCAAGGCTTCAATACGGAAGTCTACAAAACTGTGCGTGACATCACGTTGACCGTGTCCACTTGTTATATACAGTCTATGTTTCTGACATACATGTTCTTACCTTCAAGATGTTTGAACACAGTATGCAGAGCCACTGATGCAGCATCTCCCACAGATCTATTTGACCCATAAGCAAAGTGTAGCCATTCAAGGTTAGCTGACATGTTACTGTTATATGTCATTACTATTGCTGCTAAGCAGCTGACCTCCACCCACTGTCACTTCCTGTCTCCATGTTTCTCCTTGATGTTGACATGTTTCAGCCCTCTATGTTGCTCCCTCTCTCCCTCTGTCGGCCCGTAGGTTTTGAGAATGACATGGTGACTCTGGTCCTGTCTGTCGGCCGATGTCACTCTCTTCGTCACCTCGCACTGGGAAGAAACTTTGCCATGAAGTCCAGGTCTGGGGAACATAATACAAACCTTTCACTCTGCTGTGTCTTCTCCTGACATCAGCTCATCACATGGATATACTGAACATAAACCTTTGTACTGAGATGGCTACACACAACTGAAGTCATAGTGGCCATACGTTTAAACAGTGGCAGGCCGTGCATTTTATACCTTCACTGCTGTCCTGCAGCTGAACACACGTATTCGTATTAAACTGTTCGGTACGAGGCTTACGAACCGAACAATACGTTTGAATAATACTAGTGCGTTTGGAAAATGCAGAAGCTTAAATTGTGGGAAATATAATGTTTTCTGCACTCACGTAGGAGACAACGGGCTGTGACCTCTGAACCCGGAACAACAAACAGCTGAGGCCCCGCACGTGTTCTGGGAGGCTACACTAACTAGCTTAACGGGAAAAAAACAGCAGCAACACGCATTCTGCTGCACACTCGAGGGCCATTCAGATATTAGATGTAAAAAAACAAACGCAGTTGATTTAAAGACAAACTCCATCCTCCTTTCTCTGTTGACTAAGAGTTTAATCCGGTTAAATCCCAACTCACAAATCTGTTTCTCCTCCTTCAGCCATTGAGTGTTAAAAAACAAAGCTAGGTAAAAAAATAATAAACTACACCAAGCAAAATGCTAAAAATGTCATCATTTCTTCCATATCTTTCAATTTGAACTCTCACTACTCCGACTAAGCTTTGATGGCTACTTTAAGTTTCGTTTCACAATAGTCACGTGCTCGCCCACTGACCAATCACAGCACACGCTGCCCCTCACTGCAGAGCTGCACCTGGAAACTGAGCTGCACGTAATGCTGACGTAGTTGTAGACCAGCTAGCAGCTCTGACACGTCAAAGAATACGCCCAACATGTCAAACTAAAGATCTGATTGGTTGAACATTATGACAATCAACAACATCGTCCCCATTCACTTAAACTGCACATGGATGCACTTGTGAGTCTGCAGGCCTCTGCCTCTGTTCTTACCTAGAGACACAGAGGTGAACTCTGATTGGATAAAAGCTCTACTTAAAACAAGCTGCACTGGAAGCAGAGCAACTGAGGAAGACAGTAGCTGTGCAATGAGAACATAAGATAATGGGAAAAATATTTCTATAAATTATAATACATGTAGTGTATTTAAGAAAAATTATTAAATCATAAAATATATATAACTTTGTGATTGTGTCTAGGCCAGCAGAGAAGGCCTTGCAGGCCCTGACGGCCCACCACTGGGTTAAAACTTTAAGAGTTACATCAAATGAGTCATTATGTAATTTAGCTACTGTAAATAGTAAACCTAATGAAGTAATAACTCTTTATGTCTGCAGACTGAGGTCTCTAATCTTTTGTTCTACCTCTTTACAGTTTCCGTTTGATCGATCAAAATATTACCTCACTGAAATCTCTGAACAGTCTCCTTTTAATATCTAGCTGCCAAAGTCCAGATATGAGAAGCTCATCAGAAGGACAAGCATAAAAGCATAAAAACGTTAACGAAGGTTGCAAGAGTTACATTATGATGCATCGAAGCTTTAATCAGTAAGTATTAGTATTGGGAAAGGTAAACGATATCTATAGATTCAATTATATGATAACTCTATGATGAGAACTTGTGTTTTTAACGCACTGCCGTGAGCTTCTCTGCATATCTTTTGGTGACTGGTGACAATGTCTGATTTTATTATTGTAATGAGAAGACGTTATTTTGAACATCAACTTTTATTTATTTATTTTTGTTATTTTTGGAAGGACCAATTAGATTATAATGTCTTCTCTGCACGTTTAATATAAATCAAGCCCCCTCATTATACCTGTCTCAGTCAATCAGGTACATTTTTAAACAACCCTAACAATGTTTTATAAGGTTCATCTCTCACCTCTAATATCAGCCACAGCATGTCAAGAACACTGTGTGTCCACTGGTCTGAAGTCAGTGTGAGGTGTGCACGTTCTCACCACACACACCAGTGCATGTGGGGAATGGTGTTGACATGTTTTTTATGCGTACACATCCTTTACCACATCTGGCCCAGAGACTTCACTGTGTCGTGTCCACTTCTTAAACCTTTACTACTGCAGACATGTACTCCAGTCCTCCTTGAAACTAATGCCTGTACATTCTGTTCTTTCTGTGTACCAGAGCTCTCAGCGATGTTCTTCATCGTATCGCTCAGCTCATTCAGGATGAAGAGTGTGTGAGTGACACGTCCTTTCATTTTCTATTTGATGATCAGCAAAACAGCAATCACTTATTTCCGTTAATTTTCTCAATGGTGTTTGGTCTTAGAATGCCACAGTTTCTTATGTATTAGTGTGTGTGTGTGTGTGTGTGTGTGTGTGTGTGTG